TAGACCGGTTGTGGTGGACTACCTGGTTGGGGTCCGAGAGATGCGAATACTTGCTGGTTGAAGACCTTGGAAGTCATGGCTCAATATCGATGCTCATGGCGGACGTGTGCATCGGTGTGTTGCAGTATCCCTTCTTCCTTCGCCTAAAAATAACTTAAAAAAATTCAAAAACTGTGAGTGGTAAACTGGACAAAAAAGGCTTATGTAGTTGTTTGTAAGTAGTAGGGGGATTAAGTAGGTTGTTGTGTAGTTTCATCGCAGTTAGACACAGGCAGACAGCCACCACACATCCAGGAAAGCGCTAGACGGCCGTTTCGTCGTATTGGGACTCGTCAGTAGCGCGCATCCGCCGAATCCTGTCGGATTCGAACCCACGACCTTACTCTTGCGAGTCAGCGACTTATGTCACTGAGCCATGGGCGACGGCAGCAGACCGCCATGACTGCTATCTACCTGCGATATAGCGCGGCTCATCCTCCACTGTTTTGCATATCGTGAATGTGCAGAGGACAGGGCAGGCCCCCAGGACAACGACTTCCTTTGCAAACCGCCACCAATCGAGGCGGCATGTGAGCTGTTGAGGCGACTACTGATTATTTGTAAGTAGTAGGGGAATTTATTAGGTCGTTGTGTAGTTTCATCACAGTTGTAGTAGTTGTTTTTCTTTTCATAATATTCACACTGTTTTCTTATTCAACCATGAGCCCGATGGCACAATATCTGTACCGCAATTGCGTATATATATGTATGGTTGGCGGCATCCGGTTTCGGATTTGACTGTCACTGTGGCAAGCCACAAGACGCCTGCGCCTACAGAGGGACCATGGGTGGCTTGCGCTGCACCACCCACAGCTCCAACCACACACTCCATATCCAGTGTAAACCCGAAGAAATAAGACTGAGAGCCATGTGGATGGGAACCACGTTTCATCAACGGAGCCGGCCCATACTCCTTCACAGGCAAACACAAGCATGCTGTATTTGGAACTCAAGCACACACAAGGCGGTGGCTGGACTGTAGTCCGCTCCACACTCAGTGCATGGAAACACTCTTCGAGCCTAGCACGGCCACAAGGACCGTACACCCCATCCCCTCCAGCAACGACCAACTGTCTCCTACAGCCAGTATGGACGAGGTAGTGGGTAATAGACAGGTAGGCACCTTGTCAACATGCACATCAAGCGCAGCCACACCGGAGATATCAAGCAACAGCTATTCACTCTAAACAACAAAAGGAAATAAAATGAATTAAATAATGCATACAGATACGGTGGCATAACTCTTCGCTAAATTAGCATATGAAGTAAGTTGGTTTGCAACGAATCCGCGATAAGAAAAAAAATGTCCGCAAGTTACTTAAAAATGCTACTAACGCAACAAAGTTATCGAAGATAAGCGCACTTAGCGTAAACAACGTGGCCAGCTAATAGAAGACTATTCAGATAGACAAAACAAACCAAATAAACTGGAATGAAATGTATGCAGTTTAAAGAGACCTAGTTTAAGTGCAAGTTGGTTTAGCCCAACTGCGGTGAAGAAACATCAGGAATGCAACATCAGCCTCAGCATGGTTGGCGGCATCCGGTATCGGATTAGCCAGTCATTGTAGCAAGCCACAGAACGCCTGCGCCTATATATATATATATATATATATATATATATATACATATATATATATATATATAAATATATATATATATAAGACGGCCACCTTCCAACCTGTATTTCTGTTGTGCAGACCACTTTTGTCGCTTTACTTGGGAGCCTATCATAACTCTTTGTCACCACGCCTCCGATTATTCGCAGAGATGCACCTGCTATCTGGACACAGTGCCGTGGAATGTCCCAGCGTTGGTGTGTCGTCCAAAACCTTCGGCTGCACTAGTGAGAAACTAGCCATAAGATGGCTAATGGGGTGTCGCATTACTGTGTTCGGAGCCACCCCCTACTAGTGCTCTTCAGTTGGTACTTACTTCCCCTGAATCCTTCACCCAGTCGCACCAAATGCTTGGACAACCTTGTGCCCCTAAACTGTGTGAAACTAGCTTCATTGTGTGCACTCGTTGCTGAATGGAGACCAGAACGCCCACTTGTCTCAACAATATACCACCAACTCATACATCTATGCAAGGGTTATTATACCTACCGTCATTGGGTGCGTTGGGCTAACTCAATTTCAAGGACACTGTGCGCGCATGTGCGGTGGGAATATACCGGATGCAATTCAAGTGCGTTAAAGATAATGTTCTAAGTGGCTTTTGGATGCAAATCAAAGCCTTATGTTGCAATTCAAGTGCACTTTGGAGTGAATCATTTGTAAAAGGTGTAGACACCCGATCAGTAGCCAGCTATGACAGCATCATTGTCAAATGCCTGGTCAAGACAGTCACTAGGCTGCATTCCATCCTTCCCCTGTTCTCTCAGTCAGTCAAGAAATTTCCTCTGCGCTGGTTCGAAGTGAAGCGAAAGATGACTCTTCAACCTTCACTTCACTTTCATCAGTTTTTACGAAACAGAACACCTCCGCTGATTTTGGTGAAAAACATTTAAGCTGTTGTGAAAAATCGAGGAGAGATACTTGCTTTCCTTGACATGTTCGACCAGTTTATTTCTCATCTGCTTTGCCAAAATGCTCATGAATTCGCTTTGAAATTCTGGAGACAAGGAAGTAGTGTTGAGTTTCCTAGCTAATATGTCAAAAATATTCACGAAGGACAGGGTTATATTTGTCCAAGATATGTACGAATTCTAAGAATACCTATGTTTTCCTGGCCATCTTTATCATCCTGGATGTCTATTTAGTGACCACGCAGTTCTGCTTGGCGAGAGAATTGACGAGATCAAGTAATGCAGCTAGAATTTCCCGCAAACTCTGTTCCTTTTTTTCATAAGTGTTCTATCCATTTTGGTAATTGCGTTTTCTCCAACTGGCCGTATCTCTAGATCTTTCCAATTGTGGAATGCTTGCGTATGCGATTTGCTAGATTCGTGTTCATATACTTTCACATTTCAATGGTTTCTGAAACCATCATCAGTCGCAAAACCAGACTGTCCCGATGAAAACAGTCTGCAGTAGAAACAAAACATAGTCTCTCTAGAAGGGGAATACACCACCCATGTTGGCAATATTTTCTCTCTGTTTCGCAAATCCTGGAAAAATCAGTTCGTCATCAGCTTCCTAGCTTCACCTCTTGTATTCGTTACAGGTCGCGCTACTTCTTTCCATTCATAATGGAGGTGCTGCACAGCAGTAGATCCGAAACGGACAATTATAGTGCGAATTTTATGTTCAATTCTAACAGGCCACAGACCGACATCCGTGAAATCGGCTGAGGTGCGTAATATCGTCTCAGTAGTGGTTGCCTCCAATCCTTCCAACACGCGCGCATTTTCCGTATCAATATCGCAGACATTTCCCGCTGTATCAATTTCCCTATCTGTAACCCGGATAAAAGCAAAACAAGTTCAAAAATAAACAAACCATGGTAACACAGAAATTGATATCACATTGATAAGGACAAACCTAACCAATACCCACTCAACAGGCAAACAACCGAGTGTTCATAAGGCCCACTGAGAGTAAAATTACTGTACTTGCGACCGTACTGATAGATCACGAAAGCCAGAGTCAGCAAGCGAGGTTATGCAGGCGCTTATATTGGGGCATCGAACAATGTGTAAGGCCTTATAGGTGACAACGCATTACGTTAATGGATAATTGTTTTGGGTGATGATGCGTAACGGCACATGTGTGCATACGCGAGAAGAAACAGACGACAGGCAAGTGTGACAGAAGGCACAAATTTGGTTTGGTTATACAGGATAATGCTGCAATATTCAACTATCGGCTTACTTAGAAATATTTCAATTTACAACTGATATTGAACAATGATTTGTATTTAAAACACCCTACCCCTGTCATGCCGCTCGGGGCGGACCGCCCCTGCGCAAGAGTTGCACCAACTAGTCGAACTCCGTCGACGGTGGGACTGCGTACATCGACGTAACCAGATGGATTCAGACAATCAGACTAAAAATTAACATATCAGATCTACCCAATCGTGCTTCAAACGCGTCGGTTAAGCGTTCTATCCAACGTGACCGAGAATAAAGCCGTTATGATTCTTTGTACGCTGCCGTTTCACCCAGTGGCGCTGACCTCAAATGCAGGCATGCAAAATGTCTACAAATGTCCCCGGCCAATTCTCAGGTGACTTTTGAGTGCCAATAAAACGTTGAAGCTGAAATTCCGATGAAAGAAATTCGCGTGTTTCAATAGGTTAATCGAAGCTCAGATATACCCGATCACTATTCAGACGCCTCAAGCAGCGTGGACACGAGGGTTTTATTGCGTTACACAACGCGCATTGAGGGAGAGGGATTCCAGCTCGCGTCCGAATGATCCAACATTTGTTGGACGGTTCTTAGTGTATTGGCTCCAGCGTCTGCTTTTCAGTCTCCAACCCAGGGTTGGAATCTCCCCAGTTGCCCAGGTTTTGGTCGCAGGTAGTAAGTCAACTTGTGTGCAACACCTTGTGGTTGAGTAGACATGAAGCTTCAATATAAGATAAAGGAGTATGGAAAGGCAAAGACACATTACGAAAGCCAAGTGTTTGGCAAACATAAAAAGTGAAAACGTAGTGTGTCTCCTATGATGAAAGCGAAACGATCAGTTCCATAGCACCTGAATACTTAAAAAATGCTCTAATCGAAGGAGACCAGGACAAACCTGGCAACCTAGAAAACAACAACACCTAAAAAGCTACTTTTGTTAGTGACATTTGGTTACAGATGGGTGCACATAGGACAGACCATGACAACATGACAGAGGCCGTATGACCCACCGGACGTCGAGTGATTGGATAGCTAAGATTACCCTGTTGCGTGATCGATCCGTCAAGACGCGACGCCGACCAATCATAGTGCAAAGTTGCGAAGAATGCGGACAGAGTTGTGAAGGTCGACGGGAAAACCGTGCAAAGCTACGTCAAAGTAAAGTGGCGCACACAGAGGCAACGCAACGCAGCAATGTTTTGCCCGGAAGCAGTTAGACAGTGTGGACAGTGAATGTCTAATTTGTCGGATGTGTTCACACGACTAAACAGAAATATAATGGATTTTATGCACACAGCCTGTGTACTCTTGTTCGTCATTCCTGTATACAGCACTCACGGAAGCAGACGCATAAGCGAACGAAACGGATTAACTGTGGTGGAATGCTTTGTGGAATTCAGGCTCGATTTAAGTGAAAAACCTATACAATATCACAAGGCATCAACCATGAGTTCACATCACCCACAGGCTCCAGTGCTCACAATCGGAATGCACCAGTGGATTGAACTGGAGTGCAGTTGCTGTTGCGAACAAGACAAGGTGAAGAGGGCAGCAGCGAGGGCAGCAAGCTTAATGAGCATTGTTGGCGCAAATGATAGTCCATACAAAGAACCTGCACAACCGCCAGGACAACTGCAATTCCAAATAATCTCAACCAATGGTCACGTTGCATTACTAACCGAAACCAAGAAAACCAGTGTGAATGCCCGAAGCCAACATACGAGCGGCGATGAAGAGGACGCGTCGTACTCGGCCAAGTGCGAGGAGAACAGACCATGCACAGAAATGTACAAGCCAGTGGAATGTACACGAGAAAATGTGAACAGTTCGGTGAGTAAATCGACGCATGGGTTTTACGTGTATGGAGATAACTTGGGTTATAGCGAAATCAAAGCTGCGCTGCTTTGGGTAGGTAAGCCACAAAAAGACCCAAAAGGATCAGAAAATACGGTCGAAAAGGTGGAGGCGAAAAGTAAAATGCCGTCCATCCCACTTCAAATGGATGACCATGTGCGATTGCTTATCACGGATGCACACATATTTGTTACCAAAAAACAACTCATAGCCGACGGAAAATTGCAAACAGGGACAACCACCAAAGACATGTACAATGACAGTGTCGATGGCCATTGGGAACGAAGCATTAGAGTAACCATAATTCTTCGACCACAGAAATTCTACATGGCGTCCGACTGGAGCGCTGCAATCATAGCGTTCATGTTCGCGATATCTGTGGGATGCTGCAACGATCCCGTGGTGTGTCGCGCACAGCTGAGGCAATCAAAAGCGATCTTGGCAGCAGTGGGTTGCCAGCTGATAATTGTGCCTATGGTGAGTCAGCTCGAATGCATGCAAAACTGGAATGTAACATAAAGGATGAGATTAGGTGCATCCTTTGCGTAAATTGAACGAAAAATAGACCAGTTTCAGTAATAAAAATGATCAAGACAGCAATTAGTCGAGATGAAAGCAAGGTTAAAAGTCAGGAATTAACAAAACGTTTGCTGAAAAACGAAATTAGAACTGTATTGTAAACAAGCTTAATATTCAAGGAAACATTAACTGAGTTTAAGGTATCGGTTACGAAACTTATTGTGCCCTCGGTTTCATGTTCAGCAATGGGCAAAAAATAGTAAGCGCGCCCTACTTCATAACACGTATGTGGATGTGTGCAGTGCCTTCGAGCTAAGTGTAAACAGGTAGAAATACTAAGACTTTCGTAAAGACAAGGGTGGTAGGCCACTAATGTCGCGAAAATGTTCGTCATTACATTTAAATGCCCGAAGGAGCTAGTTACATAAGCTGACTCGGCTGGGTATTAATTGACAAGTTAGGGTAAACATGGATCTGGAGATGTATCGGGTCCACTGGAGAGCGGATGACAGAAACTGATTGGCACGAGAAATATACTTCAACTTTTAGAGCAATTTCTACAGGAACTCGTAGGAACACGAAAGGAGATGAAGTAGGGCTTCTGACTATGACAGGTTGTTAACAATGGATACCGAGTAAACAAACAGTCTGGGCTGAAAGGATCACATCCGCTACAAAACGAGAACAAGCCGTGAGTAGTGAGAAGAGCATACACACATATTTGATTGGAGGGTCATTTTGGAGTAGTCGTTGTGTGAGTGAATTGCAACGCGCAATCTCAATGTAGACCGTTATTCACATTGAAGTGAATGTTGGTCAATGCGACCACAGAGACCGCAGCTGAAGTAGATGGAAATTGGGTGTTGCAGTGTTTCCGGTAGGAAAACACACAATACACACATATTCTTTCTGTATAAACAGTCTGACCGGAACACTGTAATTGAATGAGCCCAGAAACGGGTTTCTTTGTGAGTGCACGCGTGGTATGTCTCCGTGGAGAACAAACAGACGAAAATAAGCAAACCGAATCCAGCACGAAAAGGCTACAATTCGCAACGGGAAGCTTGAAGGTCCAGAATCATCCTAGAAGCGCAGAACAGGGGTGAATCGAATGTTCGCGCAGTGTTGCTGGTCAAGTAAATGGTAAATAAACAGACAGAGGAAGTATTTAAATTCGTAGGAAAAAAGCCGTTGCTGGGATCAGTAATAAGATTGGTTGAAAAAGCGGGGATGTGAGTCTGAAACACGTCGGTTATCATGCGCGCGACATGAAGAGAAATCAGGTGGTAGTAACCCGAAAATAAAATGCAGGTGCAGCTGATAAACTAAAGCTATACGAATAAGTCGCTCTTCTAAGTTTGTAGGGGTACACCAGTGCTCTGGCTGAATATGCAAACACAAAGTAGTGATAAAACCTGTCGCTTAACTCTTCTATAAGCGGCTGTGTTTGCAACTACAAAACAAACTTTACCAGTGCAGTCAAACTTGTCTAACGCGACCACTCAAGGGACCGACAAAAAGTGAACGAATTGGACAGGTAATCGCTATGAATAGGTTCATGCGCAGGGAGATAATCCAAAGGAGAAAACGTTGGGGATGTTTTTGGCTGGTCGCCATAGCAGGTTAGAATGTATATACAACAGGCACTTCAGTATGTTGGTCATCAGAGATGATATGGCTACTTAGATAAGTGAACCGAACAATCGCTCCAAAGGACTGTTCGGTGTTTATGAGATGGGGCAGTATATCGGACAGGCCATGTGAAGTACCTTGCTTTTTGAAGGCACGAAGCATGTACGAAAGCATACACAGGTGTGTTGGCCTATTTGACGTAACTTGCGTAGCAATTAGGTTCGGTTTCAGGTGATCCAAGACGTTCGCGTACTATCCGACGGCTATGTGACAAGCACTTACTCCAGAGTGAGTGAGAGACAGGTTAAAGTTAGTTAGGATAAACTCGGAAGAAACAGAACCATGTTGACACACCAATACTCGTAGTGAACTTTTGTTACCGCAGTCTAAAACACCGTTTTAGTGTTTGCAATTCATGGTCTACCATACGATGATTAATAGCGCCAATATCACGTGGATTTGGATGAAGGAGACCCGGAAGTCAAAGCAGGTATTCATCGTAAAGCTGCATACAGTGGTATCGTATAAATATGACAAATTCATTATCGGTCGTACGATGATCTAAGCATTGCTCCACTTGCTGGCTGTAATGCAGACCGCTGAGCTGATGGCGTGTGATGCAAATGAGCGGTTTCGAAGCAGCAGTGACTTAAGTGACTGCCTAAATGACGTTAAAAAGGTACGAATTGGTATATTGCAGTGGCAGTTCCAAACTGTCAAACTAGTAGCCACGTTTCCTCAAGTAGATCAGGTCGAATCAGTTAAAGAATTATGACCCAGGTCTTTAATTGCGAAGAACTCAATGGTCGTGTTGCCAGCATAAATGCAAACTGGCGATTAGAAAATGGAGTAGTGGAAGACACAAAGCATAAACTTCTTGAAAAAATGAATAAAATTAAACACAGTAGAAAAATAACAACTAGGTGCGAAAATGAAAAGCAAAAGCGCAAAACAAACGCGAAACTGTGTCCCTTCTGAAAGGGTCACCAACCAATGACGTGGACCATCCGGAGGTCGCCATCCACAAAGATGACAAGCCTTACCGATTGGGCCATCCTGTGGTCTCGATGGGCTCGGTGTGACGACAGCATATAATATACCTTAGAGAGGGTAAACATGGGGGATACGAAAGTCATCAGTGAAACAGCATAAGCGACTCAAAAGTAACAGCCACTTCAATGAGACACCAGAGGTCATGGTGCGAAACACTACCTACCGACCCTCAGGGTAAAAGTCGCAAGAAACCTAAGGGTAAAAAAAATCCACCGTGATGAAGGCAATCACGGTGTCCGCTCGGTGTGCATCCACTTCGAAACTACCTCCCACGCGTTGTTGTTCGCAGTGAGACGCAAGCCAGGAAAGCGTTCATGTATCCAGTACAAATCGCGATATTCGCAACCGGGTAGTCTCTCGCCCTCTGAGGAAACCATGGACATTGTTGTGTTGTGTTTTATTTTACTGTTTCTGTACCTTCGTTTGAATCCCATGGTTTCTGATGGCATTATGTCTGTTAACAGACTTTTGCAAATATATATATATATATATACTTTGAAGAGTGGTTGCGATGCTGTGATTCGGAGACAGCACATATCTATCCCAAGACAGTAATGAATAGAGGTCCGCACTGTCAGCTGACCCAAGATGTGGACATTGAAAGAACCGAAGTAAAAAGCAATCCGTGGTATTAATGAGCTAGATGCACCGCGAGCATAAATTGTACAATCAGTAGTAGCATCTAGATTGAACACCGGAAAGGAGAATTGCAGTTGAAAGGAAGAGCAAGAAGTATTGACGAAGAGATGATGCATACAAGTGATACGCCCTTAAGCTGTCCATACGGGGGGTATAGGTGCCAAAACCCCACAACTTTGACCAAACTGACTAAAACACGAGGCAACGGAAATGACGTCTAGCTCGGGATTGCGACAACAGAGTCCTACTGGTATCTGCTTGAAGAAAATCATTAGTAAAATTTCCTCTTGATTCAGTGAATTAGGAGTTAAGGGGGGAAAACAACTTGTAGCACTGGTAGTCGAGCATCATGCCATGAAGAATGGGTTTGTGACAAAAGGTAGAGCAATTCTAATTGGATGCTATATTTGTGGACTGTTTCATAAAACTGGAACAAAAGCGTGAGTTAAGATTAGCTGATAAAGGCTTCATCCATCCACACACTTTTCAGAAACAGCAGGAGTGTGACAGTTAGGTCGTTCGGCACTATGATCGGCGAAATTAACATGACATAATACAGTGTGATACCAACATGAGCGGCTTAAGAAATCGAATACGTTAATTTTAAGACAACCGAAAACGGGACCAAGCAGATGACCCACTTAACAAGATGCGAGTAGCTCAAATAGCAAGAGAGAACCAACACAGCGGCAATCGATAGTTCAATCAAAAGCAGAGATGCGGAATAACGCAGGGGAAACGACTGCAATGATGCAGGTGATGAAGTGTGAGGGGGAAATTGTGAACGTCGGTTGGTGTCCTATGCGGTGGGGGAAATGAAGATGGAATACTGGGGACATGGTGAAGTGATGACAGTTAAGTTGAACATGAAGTGAACGTAAAGAAAACATAAATGAGGAGAAATGGGCAAAGCATGTGCTTAAATAGGAGTTGGTGAGATACTGCGATGTAATAATTTTACGCAAACTAGGTCTATGCTCGATAAGGTGATCGGGAATCGAAATTCATTGTATTAAAATCTAAAATGCTATGCTATTCCAGGGTATTCGTCAAATATACCCTACAGGTCTGTCAACCGGATAGTGAAGAAAAGTTAACTGTTGAGGGCAACATTCTGCGCGGTCTACACTGAGGCACTGATAATAAAACTACACTGGTGCAAATGTGAGGTAATGTATCGTTTAATTCTGTCCCATTTATTGCAATATTCAATCTCAGTTAACCCTTGGACTGAGCGCTTGCTTCTCTCTGAGCGTGGACCAAGCCTTTGGACTATTCGTGACTTCCACAGTGCCCGGAGGTGGCGTGGCCTACCTACTGACCTATTTGGTGAATGGAAACCGGCAACTATCAGCTGCACTGTCCCTTGTCATCGCCTGGGTCGATATGAGTAAGTCGAATGTCAGAAGTAGACGTGCTCGCAATATAAGACTGAGTTGATATTCAAGTGCGATTTAAACTGATCTGCATAATAACTTTTAGCCAGCATTAAACAACGTCAGCACTATGGTTGATAAATAGGAAGGGATTCCATGACAGTTCATTCGAAGCATGAGGGGTGTTCGACTTGTAGCCTCTATGCCCCGAATTCGAGGCCCCGGTGGTAGAGTGGTTCGAGTGTTCAGCTTGTAGCACAATTTGCTGAGATGTACGCGGACTCGCGTCATCCTGGCAAATATGCAACCGCTTGCACCTGTATAGAGGCGAAATATTAGAGGAAAGTAACGATGTGTTTATCATGCCTAGTGAGCGAGCACTATACTGAGTTAACTAGCCGTGCATAGAAGCATATCAAACTACCGAGAGGAACACATAAATTGCGCGTAAATTTTAGAAAGTGTACGGAATGAACCAAGCAATTATGAACAAAAGCGGATGCCAAACATATATGCAATGGAATCCAAGTGGCGCGGGTTAAAATAACAGCACTACACTAGTTGTTATCGTGGGGTTCGATGCATCGAGTAGCAATTAGCGCCTTAAAATTCCCATTGTACATATCAGGATGTCTAGGAAAAAAGCTTATCAAGGGGGTAACTGAATATCCCAGAACGAGAGAAAACGGAGTGGAGGTAGGACTGTAAGCAGACAAAAACAAAGGCGTCTGAGAAGCGAAAGCAAATTTGGTAGCTTGCAATTTCTGAGGTTACTTTGTCGTCATCTCGAAAGTGCAAACGATGGGTGATCTTTTCATTTCTTTCAGTTACAGCACCGTTGTGGTTGAACACCATGGGTTTGTATTGGTTCGACCGTCCGATTCACGTCTGGAAAGCAACCGGTTGGTTGTCCATCATTGCTATGGCACAAACACTGGGCACAGTAATCCGTGGATGTCGTCCAAGTCTTGCCATCGCCATCCTCACTTGGATTACTAAACCGATATTGCTGCTTTCCGGTATTCTCATGGTCACTCTCGGAGTTTACATAAACCATTACGCATTCACGGAGATAAACCCAAATCTGATTTTGAGCTTACTCTTCGTAATCACGTTGGGATTTCTGACAGGATGGGTTGCGGGGCGAATGCTGAGAGAAAACCTGCAAGTGACCAAAACGTTGGCCAACGAAGCAGCTGTGTTCAATGGCTTGTTGTGTATGCCACTGTTGCGCACCTGTTTGCATGCACCCGAAGGTGACCTGACCGCAGTGCCACCATTGTGGATCACATTTATGACTCCCGTCCCACTGGTGTACCATGCGGTGCTATCAGTTTTGCAAGTAAGTCCATTAGTATCTAGTAACCTAAGGTAACATAACAGTAATTCGAATACTACTCAACTTCAGATGCATAGAATACCCGAGTCATGTGCAGCAGTGCCCAAATCGATCGATAATTAGTAGCCAATGATTTGAAAAGGTACTAAAAGTATGGCACCTGAGGTACATTCTAAACTGTTATGGCGACCAGCCAAAACATCTCTAACGTTCTCCCCCATGTCCCTATGCATGAACCTGTCCAATCGGACCACTTTCGTCGGTCCCTTGAGTAGTCGCCCTAGACAAGTTTGACTGCATTATCTTAGATCAACGGAAAAACAGCCAATTTTTTAATGCGATAGACACAGCCGAAGCAGTTAGTTGCTTCAGGTATATTCAAAATATTTCAAGTCAAAGGTAAAGCAGGGATTCAGGAGAGTAAAACGAAATAGAATGATGGAAAGCAGTTTAAATCAATAAATGAAAAGAATATCGGTTAGAAGTGACAGGGGAGAAGCAGCGCAGTAAGCAACGTTTCGCATCAGTTAAGTAGCCGGACTAGTGAATCCCACACAAGTAAGTGACATGTGTCAACTTGAAGCAACTCTTCGGTGAATTAGTTTAGGCTTATCTGTCAAACTGGAATATAACGAATAGGGGTTTCACTAGACCTACCGAATGCATGCAATAAACGGCACAATGAGAACATAAACTAGTCAGGGTTACCAATACAATCATAGCACTCGGTAGCTTAAAAACAACAGATAGACCAAAAAATTTAGTGGTTGACAGGAATACTATTGAAACCACAATTCAGAATTGTCGTTGTGCATGTCGCTGTGAATGTATACCCAGTGCATCTCATCGTCTGAGCATGAGGTACTTTTGAAGTTTGAGAGCAATACACGCTGAAAGTCGCTGAGAACGTTTGGGGCAGAAAGTTTCGCCATGATAAGCCACTGTTGGCGGTCACCAAAACGTAGAGCAATCATAGCACACACGAGCACGTGCTCCGAAGTGTGTTTGGGAATACAGAGTCATTTGCAATCTTGTATGCAGCCGCGCAAGCGGTCACTGATGGCGAGGTGGACAAGTTGCGTCCACGGCTGACCGAGGGCTGGGGATCTGACGGTGGTGCGCTGACCTAGGATTACTGAAAGTTGTTGCTTGAAAGAAATAGGCCGTGATTAGCGCAAAGCCGAAGCAATTGATAACGGTTGTTCGTCCTATGGATGCCATGACCATGTCGTAGGTCGAGTTCACGCTCCTCAACTTGACGTCTACCGACCTGTACCTCTAAGCCCCGATAAGTGCGGTGAGTTCTGTGCGATGTTTTTCGGAAGTCAATGAGTTGACAGTAGAACTCTATCAATACGACAGCTAACGGTCTATACAGCCACGTCAAGGGCGGAAATGTGCTTGCTATTCCTTAATCCGAGATTCCTGTACTACAGTGAGGTGAGGAATGAAAATCGAGGCCAGTAATTTTGTCACAATTGGCGTTGGGCTAATACCACTGTGGCTAGCACAGTCTGTGCGACTGTCGTTCTTGTATGTTGCCACTATAATCGATTCACTCCAGTTAGCAGGGACACTTCTTTCCAGATATGTTCGAATAGGGAGGTCAATGATTTGCAGAGGACCCCACCTCCATGCTTAAATAGTGTATTTTCGAGGGAATCCGGGCCAACAGCACGAAAACGTTTGAGGGCGTTGATGGCGTTTCGGACCACAGCTACCGATGGAGCCTCTAAACTAACCGTCCATGGCTCATCCTGCACCACCTGAGTAGAAAGAGGTCCGGAATCAGGGGGATAACTGAAGTACTCTCAAAATGCTCCGCCCAACCAGCCATACGGCACTCCTTACTGCGCATCACTGTCCCAGCAAAGTTTCTATTCGTTGCACTGACGCCTTATTTTCTGGGGCCAGTGGTGCGGATCAGGTGCAAAATGGTCCGATAATTGTCTACTCCTCTCGCGTCCTCCATTTCTTGAGCTCGACTGGTCCAACAGGCTTCCTTGTCAGCATGCAGGATCCAGTTTAGTTGCCGCATAACAGTCCATCTGGTCACATTGTGCTCAGATCCAGCCGGGAGCTTTCTTCTGGATTCCAACAACTTCACCGACCTCCCGGGTATCTAGTGACTGGGGTAGTTACGATTAATACCGTCGCAAGCGGAGGATCGTGTGCTGTGCATGGCAGTCAAGATTCTATTCTATCGAATCTAAGTGTAATTAGGAGAGGACAGCGAAACTTCGGTACGCACTGCATCATGGTAGGCTTGCCTGAACGAGGGCTGGGATAAGTTATCAGTTGCCGAGACGTTTGGTACGCCTCCGATATCGGTCATGGAAAGACGACAACGTACCAAGGCATGACCAGAATCGACGCAAATATTCCAGAACGAGCGGTAATCCAGGATGGAAGCATGTCACTTGTAACTTATGGCAATGTGATCTATTTGGATCCGTGGCTGGTCAGCTACAGGAGAATGTCAAGTGGCACTTCGGCGCCCACTCTTTATCAAAGCAGGGCTACGAAGAAGCAGCTGGTGCTACGAGCACACTTGCAACAGACGCTCGCCGTTATCAGTCCGTTCTGAGTTATGCCCATGATTACCACCAAGATGAGCTTCTGAAGAGCTCAGACGATCTACCTGTGCATTCATACATCCTGCAAGTACTATGATATATGAACTGGTAGCAGTAAGTAGTAGGGTGTTCAGTTCATGGCAGGTGTCCTACGCAGCATCAGAACAATGACTCAGCCTTGGAGTTCAGAACAATACCTACCCCACGTTGACCCGTGAGTGCCGCATCAGCGTCTCCGGAATGCGTGCAACCAATAGCAAGAGGACATTCATTGATTCTTTCATCATACACATTAGCTGCTGATGGAAAACACCTCAGCTATTGTGCCGCAATACAAAAAACAAGAAAAAGAGAACAGTGGTACGCCGGCTGAGTCCCCAGTAACAATTGGACATCGTTCCGGAGAGCTAACAGCTGGCTATCGTTGTAAGTTATAAGTTATATTATACCTAACGAGTGAGATCGTGATTGGAGGAGGATGCTAAGCAGGAGGGGGATGGACAAAGGAACTCACAACACAAACGCCATTGGGGCCGGCTCCAAGCCATATCAGCAAGTGTGTCCAACCAAACGTGTTCACCGTCCTTAAGACCCCAGCCAGGCAGTCGGGATGCACCAACCGACCCCAACTTCGAAGTGAGGGTTTTCATTTCTATCAACCAAGTCATCGCTTGGCCTCCCCTCCTACTCTTCCAACCGCACCCACAACGCGCAAACAACGCACGTCGCGGAAGTCGGTGTGCTGGCATGCGCAACACGCGGCCCAACCATCGGAGCCTGGGGTGTTACATAATGGCGCTGAGCGGTTCACTCACTCTTCCTGCACCAAATACGCGACGTCGAACACGCTCATTGCTTACGCGGTGCCCCCACCAGACATGAGCTAAGCTGCGAACGCAGCGATGATCGAATATGACGAGCCTCTTTATGTCTGTTGACCTGATGGGCCAGGTTTCACAACCATATAGGAGAATTGAACGGACGGCTGAGTTGTAAACTCTGCCCTTGAGGGCGAGAGTAATGTCGAGTCTGCGCCACAGGTGGCGGAGATTGGCAAAAGCACCTCGAGCTTTTGCCATACGGTTTGTAACCTCATCTTCAATCCCACGGGTGCTAATATAGCTGCCCAGGTACTTGAATTCCTGAACGACTTCTAGCAGATCACCACCAAGCGCTAGCGCAGGGTTGGGTCCCTGCCAATCTTGGAGAAGTACTTTGCATTTCGATGGAGCAAAACATAGCCCAAAACGATTGACAGCCAGTGCTAATCGATCCAGTGCTGCTTGCCATGTTTGGGGGCTGTCACAGATTAAGGCAATATCGTCCGCATATTCCAAGACAAGAAGTCGCTCACCAGGAAGTAGCTCCACGCCTTCTAGGTCGGGTCCAGCGAACGCTGTTTCAATGGCTTTAACAATAGCGGAGTTAAAGAGGAAAGGTGACAGCGGGCATCCTTGTCTCACACCGCTGGTGATACTGAAGGGTGGCGACAGTTTGCCATAAACCCTCACTCTGCCCGAACTATGTGCGTACAGCGCTTTGATAATGTTTACATATTTATCAGGCACACCTTTCCTCAGCAGACAGTCCCAAAGGGCACATCGATCGACTGAGTCGAAGGAACCTATTATGTCAAGAAACACGAGAACGGTGGGTCGCCAATAAACATGGCGGTTCTCCAACAATTGACGCAAGGTGAAGATGTGGTCGATGCAGCCCCGACCTCTACGAAATCCAGCTTCCTGTTCACGAATCTGCCTTTCACGAGTGCCAGTCAGTCTGTGGAAAATGACAGAGGCAAGCAATTTAGAGGCAATCGAAGTCAGACTGATCCCTCTATGATAGCCGCCCTCCAAACGGGATTTTCCTTGAAAATTGGGACAATAACGGAGCGGTTCCAGTCTGTTGGGACAGTCTCCTGCTCCCAAAGTTTCACTAGTAACTCGTGTAAATCATCTACTAGAGCAGGTCCCCCGAATTTGAAGAGGGCTGGTGGAATTCTATCTGCCCCTGCGGCCTTGTGCAACTTCAACAGCCTGATCTCACGTTCGACTTCTGAGCGTGAGGGCGGATCCAAGGAGACGGCCCAGGGAGAAGGGCGCTCAATGCCTGAAAAAGAAACCGATGACTCAGGTTGGTTAAACTGCCTTGCAAAGTGTTCAGCCCAACACTCCAAGCGTTTTTACAGGCTGTGGATCGGCTGCCCACTCTCGTCGCGTATGGTATCGCTAAGAGCAGGTCTCCTGCTGCCTGTTTCCCGTATCAGACGGAATAACTTACGAAGATTGTCAACGGTAGCGGCTGTTTCCATCTCAGAGGCACGATGAGACCACCAGGTTTCGCGGTCTTTCTTCAGGCTAGCACGCAGCTTTGCCCTGAGATTCTTGTGAGCCTCATTGCATTCGCTTCTAGCCGGGATACGCCGGCGAGCATCCAAAAGTTCCAGAGACTGTGTAGAGACCCAATGTCCGGTTTGGCAATTTGCTTTGCCACATGAAGACATGCCTGCTAACAGTAACGCCTGACGAATATGCGACCAGTGATCTCCGACGGTGTTTAGTGGGCGCTTACTCAGCCCAGATGTCAGCGTACTTTGATACACATTCAGAACACCTTGTTTCGCCAGCTGGCTGGTGTCAATCCGTTCATATAGACTTTGCGGACATCCACCGAAACGCACCCGGAGGTATGCACAGGCAAGTGCGTGGTCAGAGTTCGCGCTGGTGCTCCAAATCGAACGACAGTTTTGGACACAGCCTCTCCAGCGGTAACTGATCGCGATATGATCGATTTGCGTCCAAGGCTGGTCCGAAGCTGGTGGCAGCCAAGTCACGCTTCTACGGGTGCTGTGTCGAAAGTTTGTGCTCGCGAGAAAGAGGCGAGCATCTTCACACAGCTGTAGCAATCGCTCACCATTATCATTACGGGAGCCTACAACATCTTGGCCGCCCAGATGTAGCTCATCAGAGGACAATTATTCGACTTGGGCATTTAGATCGCCAGCCAACACCACAGTATCCGTGCTTCTTCTGTAACGAAGAAGCTCGTGAAGTTGCTGATAGAAATCATCTTTTGCCGAATCAGTGCTACAGTTTGTAGGGGCGTAGGCTGCAATGACAAACAGGCAACGTTTGTCCCCGCGCGACTTCGTAGCACGGAACGAAGCACCTAATCTAACGACGCACATCCGACTGTTTACTGGGATCCAATCGATCAGGGCAGCTTCAGCCCGGGAACTCAAAACAATGCTGACGCCAGCCTAACCGGCATTTGAAGCTTCATCATCGCCAGACAGGCGCAATGAAAATGTGCCGCCAGTGTCGCATGTGGGGGATCGCAGGATAACCAAGGAGCTCGAATCTGACAAACAACAAATATCGATCGACAGGGTCTCTAATGTGCGGGCAAGTGCGGCCTGTTGGCCAATCTGCAGCAAAGTGTGCACGTTGAAGCATGCCAGTCTTCGCGAGACTCGAGGACTCCAAAGGGAAATGGATGAACTGACGTTGTCCGCTTGGTTGAACATGAACTTGTCGATTGGATTGGAGCGACGCCCTGCAAGAGGACAAGCCGGGCGTAGTTAATTCAACAACCTCAGTAAGGTCATTGATCCTAGTTTCGGACACACAACACACCTCAATACCCAGTTGCCAACGTGCGTACCAGTGGTCAGATGACTCATTTGTCTTAGAGGGCGAAAGTTGAAAACCGACAGGGAAACGGTACAGCATGGCCTTATAACCGGCTGTTGGCGATAGGTGTCCAGTGGGCGTTGTGGGAAAATGGTTTCAGATGCTTCTACTCTAGTGGCACTTCGGTTGCTGTCAATTAAGCTGGGAATTATGGGAAGGTTAGTAATGGGGGTCAGGATGGGAGTAGGAGAAACAGGTGGAAAAGAAAGAAAGGAAGCGCCAGCAATAGCATGTTTTCGCTTATCCACCCTGCTGTATGTAGCAGATAAGGCGACCCTTGATAATCTGCGCGACGGCCGATGCAGGATGAAGTTTATGTTTGAAGAAAATGTCATGGTTGTATGTGGGCTGAGATACTGACAGTGCGCCCAGACCTAGATAGGAGGACGATTAGGGTTCGCAATCAAAGCCTTTGACTCAAAAGCCTGTACGCAAGGCAGCGGAGAGTTGACAATGATTTATTTTACAGAAATGGACGCCATCCCACTTCAAATTCCCAACCTGGAGAACCAGGAGACTGAGTTTGTCTGACCTATAACCATTAACCAAGCTGGTAGGGATAGCTCTCAAGGCATCCGGGGGCACAACCCAGTATAGCTGAGTGAGTCAAGCAGATACGCAAACCGTCGCACGAAGTTAAGGTCCAGTCTCGTTGCGACAGGTGAAGTACGAAACATGACGCGGAAAGTGTGAGAGGAAGTATGTTGTTAAATTAGTCGAAGTGTTGCGCTATGTGGTCACAAACAGGGATGGTCCATCGACGCGAATGAACACATAAACGATAATTCATCTTAAGAAATGGTACTTCTAAAGAAACGAATAATAGGTGAAGATATAACCAAGGCGTTGGCTATAGAGGTGGGAAACAATACAAGCTCTACAATTTGGTCCGACTGGAGAACTATATATGAAAAAAGTAGGGGAAAACGACAGCGAGGCCGGTGCCTCGATTATGCGCCTGAATTAGTTAACTACACTTCTGAAGGTGTTCAGAGGAGCTTCTTTCAAGGCGTATGTAATTCTACTGTCTCAGCAACGGTGGAGGTGCGCCATTAGAGTCAAGTCATGCCCTGTGTTCTACAACGGTAGACACTGCGAAGTCCTTCGAGATTCAGGGATGTAATTTCGCAGATAAAACTCTTCGGCAGTAAGGTGTTTCGGATGCAATAAGAGCATTGACCATTTGCTTAGCCTCCGAGTTGTCCTTTTTATATCGCTTGATAGTAAATAGCCAAAAACTGCACTAAATAGATGAGGTAAAGCGTGTACGCGCAAACCGAGATAACATGCTAAGTTTGTCCAGTTGTTTGATTTGCAATTTCTGTCCACAGCGTTGGCTGGCAGAATATCTGCAACGGCGGAGAAAGAAAGCAGAGAACGCGGCGAGCGCAGAATTTACCTCTGCACCTGGAACAACAGTATCCGAAATTGGAGCAGCGTCCGTGGCTGCTGTGGCAGCAGCATCAATCGCAGTGGCTCCTGTTATCACTGCAGGGGAGAAAACCAAAGTGGATGACAAGTCAGCGATGCCACTATTGGAAGATGCGAAGGATGCCGAAACAAACATGGATAACCTGTCACCAGTTGCAGAGACCAAGTACTACATCGCGAATGGTCGTGGAACGGTAAATGAATACATGGCGATGGGGGAATATAGGGAACGAACTGAGGAAGACGAAGGCACAAATAGGATACGCGCGAGTAATCAAGCTGAAAAGTATTGTCTCTTGGAGCTAGCGCCTACAAATGTCTTCAAACGGAGAAAGCCATTCGAAGAACTAAATTCGGTAAGCGACCACAAAAGAACTCAAACTGTGGAACGGAATAATATATGGTTGACCGGAACAATCGGAGACATCAAGCAGCTGGAAAGTAAAAACACTACGGAACTACAATCAACTGAACATGGAAAAATGGTGAAGCCTATGGTTACGGGACAAGCACAGTCGACGAGTAAGCAGCAGCAACCATCGCCAAAACCATGCTCAGAGATACGTAGGCAAACTTATATCCCCCAAGAAGAATTACATAAACTGATGCAGTACACGAACTTGTAAGGCCTATGCTAGCGAGTTAAAATGCCTTGTACACGAGTATATAGATATATAACGCTGTACAACTGATACAGTAAAAACAACTCTAGTGTAAAGGGAAAATAAAACCAAATATGTTCTTGATTTACGGTCTGAAGGAAGAAGGGTGAATGGAGACCAATGCATTGTTTCAAAGTTTAGTAGAAATTCTACTGTTAAATGAAATAAGATCAAAATTAAGTGTCTATTAGGTATATGCATTATGACGAAATCCAGCACCGACGCTTCGTTGCGTCCTAACTGCAAATATAAAGATGTCGACCAGAACGTCGCGAGGTGACCCGCCTCTAATTGTGTTTGCATGGTTAACCCGTGGGGCATAAGCCAGACATTTGAACCGCCATGCTGCCGGCCGGATCTCGCGTCAATGCGAGAAGCAGCAGTAGATGTCCCTTGCAGATTTTATAGAAGTACAAGACTAAAAACAAAGCAAACTGGCTACTAACAGGATCATGAGCAATCCGCGAGGGTTAAAATGAGATTGGTTGTGGTCAACTTGAATGGATGTTTGTTCACCATCTCTTTGGAAATTTCAGCTAAGCTGATAAGCTAAGTCACAGGACCATAATGAGCATCATAAGTCATCAGCAGAAACAACAAAATAACGGGGCATCTGTAAATTGAAATAATGCAGTTACCGCGCAATCGAAATGGTCTAAAGAATTAGGAATACTAAGAGCGAGGCAAGAGAGACACGGTGTTAAGCTTAAATGTCCTGAGCAAAATTTCAGGGCCACGACACCTAGACCTTGCCCACAACACACGGTCACAAACAGTTGGCCATAGTTCCACTGGCGAGAAAGCCCATACGGTTTTCACTTCCTCGTGTCACCGTAAACCATACTTTATAGACAGATCAGCAATAGATACATTTCAAATGGACAGTCTAGTAGGTAGACGATAGCAAGAGCATCACGAGTACCGACTGCGAGTCCAGTTCTGTACGTTACAAGACACGCAATTGGTCAAGTGAGATACTTGGAAGAAAGCTGGTATACCAGGGCAATAGAGAACAGTACTGAGGAAAGGAGGACTTTGTCCAATCAACGCAGTCTTCTTAAACATCTTACAATGCAGCTAGTTGAAAGTATTGGTTGTATTAAATAAATTTCGAGGTCGGTCGAATCAGCAGTTGTAAGACAACAAAGCGAAACCAAGTAAGATGTGTATGTTGGTTAAGTGCCTGTCATCATTTTCTAACGCTTTTAGGGAAAAAGATGAGATTGGCGTAAAGCGTATGTGATCAAGAGGTCACCGACTCGAACGCGTGTAGTTGCAGGCAACCTCGTGATATATTTAGTCCACGCGCGACCGGTGATCGTGCGACAACAAAGTGCAAGCGCGGTGTGTCGGCTTATGTAGATGCACTTCCCATCTTTTAACCATAAGCGAAAAAAAACTCACGGGGATAAACCCATGAAACAAACAGCCAAACAGGCCGAGCCCATAACCAATAATTACCGCTTCGTGTGGCTGACATTAGATGACTCGACGACAGCCCTTTATTTAAAAGGAAGGATAATGAGGTTGAGTTCATTCCACTTCTAAAGAACCTTAAAGTTAGTGAAGGTAGCTAGCAGACCTCAGGAAGACATCCAACAATCAAATGAATCGGGCGAAAAGACGTTCAGCTGCATTGTAAATAAACAACGAAATATAAAGATTAACCGCAAAAGATTCATAAGGTCATTCAGAAGTCAAGCTGGAAAGAACCAATGGCATAATGAGCCGTGTCGCTTAGCCAGTAATAAAGACGATAAGACACGGATAAAATGTGCCCAATCAATCAAAAAACTAAGATCCAGGCACCAAGGTGCGGTGTCTACAGTCGCCAAGACTCGCGTACCCAGGATAAGAATGAATTACGAGGACAAGAAAATAGGGTTAAACTCAAACATAAAAAGAAAACGGAGCAAAGAAAGAAGTAAAATTGGTCGCGATAGAATACTAACAGCGTATTTTGATAGATCGAATACAAGAGCGCAACTGCACCATGTACGATAGAATTTCAAAACAATAAATAATAATCGTCAGCTTTAGGCTGTGGCAGTGCTTCGCTGTCGCACGATCACCAACAGCCGCGTGCGAGTTGAGGATAACGCGAAGAGGCCCGCCCTTACGCGGATTCGAATTGGTGACTTTATGACTGCAAGCCAGGTGTGCAGACCACTCGGCCACTGGTCGACTAAGGTGAACAATAGCGAGGTCCCCTTGAGTTTTAAGTATATAATTTCGGAAAGATTAGAATATAGATCGGTTTTGCGTAGGTTTGTATTGTGTCTACATTTAGATCTTGACGCAAAACCTACTTCAGATTAGGCTTAAGTGTAGGCAACAAAATCGCTTGGGGCTCGAGTAACTTGAAGAAACCCCAGGGTCCAAATTAACATGAAGCCGAGAAGTTAACTATGGTACTATTCAAATAGAAAGTACCTACCTCAACAGCACCCGTTGTTCTGAAACAAGCGGGTCATTACAGTACACAAAGATTGCAAATAACCATAATTGCCACCGTACAACAAGAGCACACAACACATAGTCCGCGAGCGGAATCCAGCAGCTCTTTAAATGGGTCCAATAACACTACGCAATTGGTTCCCCGTGGGAGATTCGATGCAAACGTGGGATGAAAGGAATAACAGGAGGGGATGTGCCCCTGTGGCTGTGGAATGAATCAAGTCGGCACGTGGTGTGACACCTGGACAAGTTGCACGGTGTACGAACGGGCAATTCTAACAGCGAGGTTGGAGTGAAACCATGTGGGCATGGCCAGGAAAACAGGATAGACACAATAGTTAGTAGACACAGGTGTCAGAGTAGAATCGCGATTCCCATGGTGCGAATTGCAACGAAACCATGCTGCATCGCATAGGTGACCACATGGGATAGACAAATAGTGAGTATCCGAAGTCTCAGCAGGTAAGGCAGGTGGTGTGGTTATCTGGCTACGATCATGATATCCATCTTGCCAATTGCATGGTGATTTTACTGCAGACACTAAGTTTAATACTGCTCATCTGATGTCCCCACCGGATGTGAATAATCGCAATCACCGTCAATCTCATATTGTCTTCACCTCAGACTGCTTAAGTCTTATGCAGGCAGCAGCACCAGCCTAATGGCACCGTTAAATATTCTAACTTTTATTGACAGGCCAAGGTCTGGCTAGCTGCAAAGACGGTTAAGTCTCGGAAATTTTACTAGGGCTTTGCTGATAAATGCAGGAACCTCCTCAGTGATGTGATCACCCAGAGGTGACACAACTACCAAGGTATATCGCTTTCAGTGGCTGTTCAGTGACAGTTAGAACCGGTGAAGGGTCAGCCGACTTGCAGCAGCATATTATACTTTGAGGATGTGAATCGAATGCCGAAATGTGCAGCGCTAAGCGTCAGCCTATTCAATAGTGTTGCATCTAAACTAGATCCGACAACATGAGAAATGTGTCGTTCGCAAACTCACGGTTTTCTAGTCGGTAACGTAGTAACACCTACGTCCAGGAAGAGATTGAGAGGATAGAGCAATTAATGGTCACTTCGGACACAGAGTTGGATAGAAGAGGAGACAACTAGGGTGAACTTCATTTAGCATAGGAAACTCAGGACGCTGCGTCCAAGAGAACTTTACGCGATCTGAGGAGTAACGGCTTAGAGACGACAAAATGGAACAAACACGCCTTTCATGGACAGATAGCGTGAAAAGTTCGCACGATCAACAGAATCTAAGGCAATCCGCAGGTCAAGAGAAACCACTATAGTCGGTCATCTGTAAGTGCGCCTCTTCTCTAACACATGAAGAAGAGTAAATGTGTGGTTGATGCAACCACGACCAGGGTGGAAGCCAGCCTGGCTTTCAATGATTCGGATTTCCCGAGGACCAGTAAGCCGTCGAAGAATGATATCAGCGAGAATTTTGGAGGCAATTGTAATAAGACGAATTGCTCAGTGATTTCCGCACAATGTAGGCTAACTCTCATTGAATATAGACGGTTGATAGAGTGAAGGTAGAGCAGAAACACAGCGTCTAACTTACAAATTCCCGTCACCCGTAAACCGGACGCTCCCCGATATTTCGGAGAGAAAGCTCGAAAGCTCTTTAGTGTAGCAAAGTTCTGAATAGAGCATTTTTGGTCAAAGGTGGAGGAAGTTTACTTGCTCCATGGGCCTTATCCCGTTTCAACATACCAAGCCCGTGTCGAATCTTCTCCAAAGTGGGAGATGGGACATCAACTTACCATGTGGGCTCAGGTGATTCAGCAAACGGCAGGTTAGCAACTGGTCTACTGAACCGTTCCGCCCAACGAGCGAGTCGACGCGAATGAGAATAGAACAAATATCCATCCCCCGGAGCTATTAGCCTACTAAATGCCCACCGCATGCCAGTTGACTGCATCGCTGGACGGGCATTATAGGCCGCCGCTGTACCGAGTTGAATGAATCAGCGAGGTGGTTAGTCAATGATGTAGTATACAGGTAAGAATAAATTAATCGAAAGAATTTGTCAGGCTGGTGTATGCCATCTTCGTGGATGGAGACTCCGGGATGGTCCACCCCAATGGTTGCAGAAATTCTCAAAGGTCATACATTTGCAAGTTAGTGGCACTTTTGCATTCAGTTTCTAGAAGCTATCCGTTAATTTGCATTCCATTCCATATAGTTTTATGCACTTATCTTGATTTCATTTGCTTTGTGTTAACGGGGTGAAATGAATGAAATGAAATGTGTCAGCTTATACGCCGTAACGGCGCTTCGCTGCCGCGCGACTACCACCAGTCGCGCGCGGGCTGAGTATACCGCGAGGACGCCCACCCCTACGCGGATTCGAACCGGTGACCTTATGGTTGGAAAGCAAACGTGCCGACCACTCGGCCACCGGCCGACGGGGTATCCTTTTCCCAGAAGGTCGGCACAGTTGACCATAACCCAACTCGAAGCTTATTGGCCAACCAATGAGAGGGGGCTAACGATGACGCTTCATCTTGAGAGCTGTCAATGAGGACGGCCTACTTTGAAGCCTGCCAGTGAGCGCAATGCCATTCCCTTATTAACTGTTGGTTTGA